TAAAGAAAAGAAATGAATGTGCTGGCTCATATCAGCACCAGCTGCAGAACTTCATCCACCACAAGAGTCGTCATCACACATGTCCTGGGTTTAAATTCATATAAGCAGAGCCTCAAAAGGCCCCGCAGGGAATATCTGAATGTGCCATCGTTGTAGAGTCAAGATGAAAAATATGCATTCCCAAAGTTCTCAGCAGAAAAATTTCCATTTCTTATTCAGAAATATTCTACGTGATCTTTGACTATATGCATATTCATATCTATATACTCTCTGAAGTTATGTAACACAAAACTATACTTATCCAACTAAAGTAAACATAATTAAGAAACAAGTTCTAAGACTATAAAGGAGAAAATTGGTTTTGGCTGTTTTTGTGTGACCTTATATTCAATCCATTTCTCACAAATAAAGTAAAAATGACACATTCTCAAGGTGCTTCGGATATGAAACTGCAGGTGAAAAGCATAGGCACATTTTACTATTTACTTGTTACTTGTCTTGGATTTTTTTTACATTTATTTCTTTTAACTAGTGATTCACACATGACTTAGCCCTAGATGTTGGGAATCTGACATTGAAATAATAAAGCCCCTAAAGGTTCCAATTAGCCACATTGATTAAAGCTCTCATCAAAACAAAGCCAAAAAAATAATAATAAAATAAAAAAAACAAAAAAACAAAAAAAATCAAAAATAAAGCCAAAGATTTGAATGATTCTCAACCCTCACAGGTGCCTTATTGTCTGTTCAGTGGACATAAGCCCAATATACTTGCATAACTATAGAAAGGTTAACACTGCGTCTGTACCGAGGACTGTACTGTGTGTAGCTGCCACCATACACCACTGTTTTGAGAAGCAACTCAAGAGTACCAATTTCTTGACTTCTTTGTAGACAAGCTTCATCCATCAACTACTTTTGTGTTTTGGTTCTTCTTACCAATGCACAGTTTTAAAGACTGGGAAATTAGTTACCATCTCTATCACTTTAGTCAAGCTTCTGTTGTTTGTCACAAATACCACAAATTGATTTATAACTCTCAATTTCCCTTAAAGTTAAAAAAGGACATTTGATCTGGGAGTACAGCTCAGTGTCATAGCATGTACTGAGCATGTACAAGGCCTTGGGTTCAATATTTGTCACTAAAAATTAAATTTAAAAATAAGTTTCAGAAAATATTGATGCCTACATCTGAGTGTCTGTCTGAGACATAGCTAAGATGAATAAATACAACATTTATTAGACAGAATGGACATCTAGTAACAATTTTTTAAGGCACAGTTTCACCTCTGTATATTCTCTGTATGAAAAGAAGTGGAAACCATGTCCCCCAGCAAAGATAGAATTACAAAGCAGGAAATTCAATTTATGTAGCTGCCCTAAAGAGAAAGTCTGATTCTGCTCAAACCAGAAGACAACAAACATAGATAAATGTGAGAACGATATTTCTTAGATTGTATGAGTGTGTGAGCCAGCTGAGGATCTGTTGTAAGTGCACATTCTGGTTAAAAGAAAGAGAGGCTGCATTTCCAGCCAACAGAGGATTTATACAAGGCTTCCCAATGAGTACAGTTTGGTAGGGTCCTAGTCTGCTGGAATGCATGAAAACTGAACAAATGCAGTTCTTTAATCCATATATATCAGAATTGATGGTTTCCTTAATACAATGGTCATTCATTTATTTTATTTATACACAAAATATTAGTTTTCTACTATATGCCAGCTATAGAATTACAGTATAAGGAAACAAGAAAGATGGGTGCTCAAGATGACTTAATGTATAAAATCTGTATGTGCCAAGTTTGAAGACTCAAATTCAGTTCCTCAGGCTCCACACACTAGAAGAAAGCCAGCTCCAAAAAGTTGTTTATTTATTTCTACCTCCACACTCACAACATGGCATTTTTGCACTTCCCAACCCTGCCACACACATAAAATATGTATCAAAAAGTGGTGTTATGACCTCTTATTAAATCTCACTAACATGTTCTTGCAGCCACCTTTGGAGACCTGTGGCATGGTCCCATGGCATGCATGGCCATCAATCTGTCTCTCCTCGTGAAAGAGGCTGCCCCACTGAGGTCTCACACCCACCATACGGCTCTCTGCCTTGGACTCGCTGCCCCTCATGGCCCACTGCATCCACTTAGAGAATTGCACCATTTCTGCCTGGGACTGGCTGCTCTTGTGACTTGCAGCCCATTCCTGCTGCCACTTCGGGGACCTGGGCGTGGTCTCATGGCCCCCTGCCTGCCACCACTTAGGGGACCTGCTGCATGATCTCAGGACCACTGCCTGCTGCAGCCACTCATGGACCTACAGCATTTTACTTAAGCCATTACAGTATTCTTGGCATGAACTCCAGTTACTGCAGAATTATATCTTTCTGAGTGAGGTGACTGGAAATTTTTGGAAAAGACATGAATTGTCACATTTGTTAACTATCAGCTGCATTTTCAAAGTTTCCTATCATTCCACAGGACAAGAAATGAGAGAGGCGAGATGTAACAACAAAGATAATCCCTTGACTAAGAAAAAGTCCAATTTAATTGAAAAAGATATTATTATTATTATTATTACTATGTAAATTATAAAATATAAACTGTTAACTGCCTTATTACACAATCATGATTTCCTACTCTACTTAACATTTATGTATCCACCTATTAATCATATTGTCTTATTGGGTTATATGCCAAACTTCGCAGCTAGTAGAAATGCTATGCCCAGATCATGGAGTCCCCCAAAAACCAACTAGAAGACCGAGCCCTATATATAAAAGCAAAGAGCCTGTATTTGACCTTAAATTTGAACTCTCCATCTGTTGAGACAGAACAGTTGAGAGTAGAGAGTGCCTAGCCCAGTCAGGATATGGTTTTTATCATAGTAGAAGTTAGGGTAAGGGGACTTCCAGGGTTTAGGACCCTGATTGGCTGACATTTGTCTAGGTGTCTTGGCAAAAGGAGAGTAAATTGAGTCCTGGACTCGGGGACATCTGGTGGTCCTATCTAATCTTATCTAATGGTTGGACTGTCAGGTGCTTTTCAGAAGTTGGTCCTCCATGGGTGGTATGTCAACTTACAGCTTTTCCTGAAACCTGGTGCTGCCTGCCACCGCAGCTTTGTGGCCTGGGCACCTTGTGTGGCCAGGCTGTCCTAGACCCCACCTGGTTTGGGCCCCATTATGTGTGGACAGGTTGTCCCAGCCCCACTTTAAAGAATGAGGCCTTGCTGCCTCGTTGTAATTCTAATGAACCTTTTCTACTAGTGAAGAAGTCTGATGATTTAGGATCTTACAAAGTAGTGGCTATAAATAGTGAAGAAATCTGATAATTTAGGATCTTACAAAGTAGTGGCTATAAATACACTTCGATTGACTTCTGATTTTTTTTCTAACGTAAAAGGCCCATCAAAACAGTAGTTATCAACATGTTAGCACATTTCCAATTTACTTCCAATTTTCTGTGCCACTTTTCAAAGACGTGTCTAAAGCAGTGTGCAGCACAAAATGTTCCTAGCCTTCAACCAGAGAAATTAGTTGGGATTTGTTGGTGTAATAGTTGTCAAGAACAGCACAGTAAGGGACCTTTCTCCCCTGAATGTCTAATACAACACTCACAATTTTTATAAGATCATCCAGGATTGTGGATATGTTCCACAGCAAACAGAAGAAAGATTTTCAATGGCTTACATGATATGTTGTTTCGTTCTACTCAGTGTGACCTAGGAGCACATTTGTAACCAAGGCAACAGAGTCGCGACTTTGTAACAGACATCTTCTGTTATCCATGTTTCTCACAGTCTTCTTTCTTCTCCTTGTTATTTATTAACAATAATGTTTTCTTTTCTCTGGCCTTTTGTTTATCTCATGTCATTCACTCCTAAGACATTAACAAACATTGTCTTAGTTACCTGTCTCATCACTGTGACAAAATACCTGGAAAAGAACTTGAAGTGAAGTATAAGTATTGTTCCTTTGGGTTCCTGGCTTGAGGGATTTAAATCCATGCTCCTTGGTTGCATTGGTTCAGGGCTGATGATGAGGCAGAATACCATGGCAGGAGAAAAAGGCTATCCTCTTTATGGAGGACAGGAAGCAGAGAAGAACTGCAGAATATAACCCTAAAGATATGCCTCTCCCCAAGTCACACAGTTCCTCAAGTCAGGGGCCATCTCCTAAAGTCCCCAGGCCTTCCCAAAACAGCACCACCCTCTGGGGCCAATCATTTAGACATGAGCCTGTGGTAAGCATTTCATATTCAAACCACATGTGTTGGCTATGTAGCTTTCTAGAGTTTTGGGGCAATGGTAGAGAGTGTTATATGAAGTGTTGTTTGCTGTAAAGAAACAGCTTTATACCTAAAGACCCATTGAAACTGTCAATGACTCTAAAGCATTTGGGTGACACTTGCTTACTTCTGCCCATGCTCTGTCCTGTCATCAGTGTTACCTCTTCCCATGTGGCCATCCTAAGAACTGGCATGGTGATTCTATTCTACTCTTTACCTTTCCTGCCTACTTCTGCAGAGTGGGGAGGGTTGTTAAGAAAGAGAAAGGTGGCTAGTTGTATAAAAACGCCTTCTCTTGTAGAAACAATAACATTTATAAACACTTCTGTGAGTTGATTCATGAAAACACGGACACATGCTATAGCTATCTGTCACTGTAAAGCATAGTTTACCTCTGAATATGGAGGGAAACAATTTCATAATGCTCTTTATTGCACATTAATATTTAAAATGTAAAAATCACTTATGGGAAGATACTGTAGGGTAACAATACTTTCAGTAATATGTTGATTTTTGTGCCTTTGACTCTGATAATTAGGGAAACCTCATTTATCTAGGGCTTTATGTATCTGTTTCTATGTTTGTATTTTTCTGATATTCTTTTAACATTTCACCATAACAACCATGTCTTCTTTTCACTTCGTTATTAATTAAGAGTTAATGGGCAATAGTCTAATACATCTGGACTTAATATTAATAAATGTGGTTCCTAGGAGAAGAAGTGGACAGACAGCTATGCAGAGACGCCATCTTTCCCATTCCTGTGGCCTGTGATGCCCCATGCCCAAAGGACTGTGTGCTCACGGCATGGTCTACATGGTCCTCCTGTTCACACACCTGCTCAGGGAAAACTACAGAAGGGAAACAGATCCGAGCTCGGTCCATTCTGGCCTATGCAGGTGACGAAGGTAAGGTCTCCAGTCTCCTGACTGTTTCTTCTGAAAACTGATGGCCATTTACTGTGTAACGTGTGTAAGACAATATTCTATGAAAACTGACAGAACTCCAACAATGAAAGACTTTAAATATCTGTTTATATGGTTTCATTCTATCCCTTATAATTAACCTTGAAAATGGATGTTTAATAAAGAATAAATGATTTTTAATTTTTTTTTTCATTCAGCCTCTAATTCATGTTTTTTTTTAATCCAAAGTATACAAAGCAGAAGAAATTGAGAAATGGTCTAAAAATCCAAACATTCCATTGCTTTCTATTTCAGTAATTTGTTTTAGCCATTGGCAGTTTAATGTCTCATAGAATTGTCACTTATAAAATAAGAAAGTTTATTTTAATTTTTAGCATGGCTATTGCGTGGCTGAACATTGTGTGTGTTCTCTACCATTTGTATTTTAGCACAGGCTCTGAGATCCACAGGACCCAAACACAGATTCACCCTCTGGCGTGAATAAGGCATGACTTTTACAGATCACACCTCGCCCACAAGCTTTATTGCCAAGAAATACAAGGCAGTAATTGCCTCTGTGCTGCTCTCCCAATGCTAATTTGTCCTCTGTGTGACTGGGTGAGACAGTGTCAAGCTCTTGTATTTTTGGAAGATAACAGAAGTGTTGGAAAGCACGGGAGTCAAATTGTTTCACATTGAGGTCCATGCTCCTTCAGGAATGCAGGGTGCCACGTACCATCCCACACTAAATGACCCTTCTTAGTCACATTTAGGACTTACAGATCACAATTTCTCTTTATAATAAGCATACATACCTATTAATCCCCGAAATTAATTGATTTTGATTGATTTTATGTCATCTGTGCCTTTTGATGTTTCCAGGCTTTTTGATATTAGTGTCTCATAATCTTATTTAACAATATTTGCTATTATTTATGTAATAACTTTGCAGACTGTTTAATTACCTCGGCTTTAATATACAAGTACAACATATTATATATAAAAGTTATCCTTTGGGAAATGTTATAATTTTTATAGACCCCTCAAATATTTTCCAATAAAAATATAACTGTTTGCTAAGAAAATAGAAAACTTATAGAAAAATACAAATTTTAGAGAAAACAAACCTTAACTTTTCTGTGCTGTCCTAAACACCTCCAGCTTGAAAAGACTACCTTCAGACTACAAACTCTGTCATCTCAGATTGTGTCTTGGGTTTCATTAAAATTAGATCTGTGGTCACCCTGCTTCCTGTAAACCCATTATTCCTGGCAGACATTTGCTGTGTGACTTATAATGAGTGACTTTTCACCCCGGGCCACATAGCAAGGATTTTGCTGTGCTTGCAAAACTGCAGCAGATCATTTTGTCTGTAGATGAGACACTGAAAGGTCTTGAATGTTTTAAAGGCAGAAATTCATGGCTGGTATTTGATACATATTATCTACCTAATTTGAAAGGGTGCATCTTCATTAATTTTTAAATTAAGTCTAGTAGCTGTATCATAAACCAGTTATACTGGGATGTTGCACGTCCTTTTCTAATATACCATAAGGGCATATATCAAAACATCATTTTAAGTATAAAGCAGGCTGAATATCTGTAAGTGGATGTCTTGCTCTCCACCAATGATATTTACAAAACATAGCATAATTGTGTGAGACACCTAATGGAGAGCTCATCTGCAAAATAAATTTCCTTAATACCTGTTATTTGCTGGATATGAAAATAACCTTTAATTTTGTAGGAAAAGAGACAGCTATGATACCGGGCTTTATAAAATGGTTTCTGCTTTCTTTTTTGAAAGAAATACATCTATCATAAGTCTTAAATTATGTGTTCTAATCAACAATATTATAGTCTGCAAAAGTGAGTATTTTATTATTCTACAAAAATTAGAGCTTGGAATGTGTCTCGGATTCTTTTTATGAAAACTGCTGTGATAATTTTATAGGAAAACAAAAGATAAAAGTGATACGTAGTATTTAGAGATGAGATTATACAGTCTTTTTTTTCTAGGAAGAAATCAATGAGAGTGGCAAATGCATAAGTGTGAGGTCTCTGTAATGTAGCAGGAAGTCAGTCACATGTGCTGGGGATTGAACTAGGCCTTTGTGCTCTACCTGTGGGCCATATCCGCAGTCCCAGATCATGGTTTCTGATTCTATTTTGACATAACCGTAACTGTGAGTAATCTGTAGGCCAGGGGGTGGTCTTACCCAAAGGAATCTGAACAACACAACAAAATGGAGACTTCCAGAGGGAAAATTATGTTTCTTGACTTGTCAAACAGCCCTTCTAATTTGAATAGATTATGTTCAGAAAATGGGGGAGATTATATAGTAAACTGTTAATAAATGTATCTATACCACAAAGGCAAGGGGTTTAACCTTCAGTCATTCTTTCTAATTATTAATGTGAATATGAGTTTAAGTATGGGGAGAGTTGGGGCAGGGCAAGAGGGACACATTTATTATTTGACCAGGCTGTGATTCAGTTTATAGTGTTTCCAGGTCTGCTATGGCAAGATCCTGGAAAAGCCCTTATTTTATGAATCCCCACCTTCATCACTATCCTGAGATGACTGCTTTTATTTGTGGGGAAGCCTACTTCTGGCCATAAAATAATTGCTTCCAATTAAGGAGAGACTGGGTCATCACTGGGTACTGTATCTGCAGGATAGCATGGTGGAGGGAGTGGAGGTGGAGAGATGCTCCAGCACTTGAGAGCACTTGCTGGTCTTCCAGAGGATCACAGTTCAGCTCCTACCATCCACAATGGACAGTTGACAACTACCTGTAACTCCAGCTCTAGAGAACCTGAAACTCCCCTGGCTTCCCAGGCACCAACACACACTGTAGTATGCATATACACAGGTACACACATATAAATAGAAATAGAGATGTCTTTAAAAGAAACAAATGTAGGGATAAGTCCCGCCCCTTAGGGGGCGTGTTCGCCTCGGGCTAATGTTGGCCTATAAATTTGGCAAGCATGCTCCCAGCCGCCCCTTTTTCTGCTTTCCTGGTCTCCGCGGGAACAGTGGTTCTGTAAGTCTATTTTGCCATTAAAGCTATACATATTTTTACAATCTGTCTGCATTCGTTTACTCTGATAGTCTCATGCTCTACCGACTGAGCTAGCCGGGCAGGCAGCCGGGGTGCTGGGGACGCAGCCCCGCCGCTCTTATTACTACAAACAAATCTTGCTTAATCTAGTGATCCAAGTAATTGAGAGTAATGGAGCAACTCAAAATCACATGTCCTGAATGTTTTTCAATAACAACATGGCATTACTTATGATAAACCTTGCCAGAAATGCATGCATAGAATCTTACTCTGAAAAGGCATCAGTCAAGAAGGTGCTATATAATTATAAAATAAAGAACACTAAATCTTCAGAATTGCCTATGAAAGTTAAGAAAATACAGAAGTAATGTTTCCAATTAAAGGAGACCAACAATTAACAGGATGCCTAAATGTGATGATTGATATCGAATTAAATCTTTGTGCTATGACAACTATTTGGGGATAGTTGGAAGATTCAGTGGGGCTCAGAGTACTGGATATGTTTATGTATGGAAGGATGTCTTATTTACAGAAAATATACATCAAATTGTTCAGAGTGATGAACCTCATTCATCACCATCTTACAAACGGTCCATGAAAATAATTGTTGACTCTGTGCTACAATTATAAAATTAACTCAAAGAATTTAAAAGAAAACAAAAGAATGAAAATAGTTTGAGTATATTTTCTCCATACAGTCTTAGATAACACTATACAGTGTAGTATCAGCAATAAACAAAAATACCTACAAAACAATTCATGCAGAAATATCGTTAGGAAACCAAATCACAATTGGAAACATCTAGAGATAGTCAAGGCATGAACACTAGAGAAAATTGACGAGAACTTTAATTTAAACCAGGTGGAGGTAAGAGGTCGCGAAAAGAGCTCCATGGGAAGATGTTCACTATGCAAAGATGAGGACCATACCCAATACTCATGTATAAAGAATCTAGTGTTGTGGGGTGTGTTAGTGATTCCAGATCTGGGGCAGCAAAGACAGAGGGGTGTTTGTGGCCTACTGGCCAGCCAGCATCACCTACTCAGTGAGTCCCAGTCACAGTGAGAGAAATCATAATGCATACAAGATGGACAGTTCCTGAGGGACAATGACTGATGCTGACCCCTGAATTTCACACAGGCATATACCTGGACACATATGAACACACACACAAACACAGTTACATATACATGGAAAGGTAAGGAGCCCATATTGGGCTCAGAATTTTACTTCTTGTTTTCTACTTATATAAAATCAAGAACTTACTAATTAAGTATTGTGTGATTTTTTTTGAATAAGCGTCTTTGTGATATTATGTATACTAGGGTTTGTCCCAAAACCTACTTTTAAATTTTATGTTGTCAAGTTCCAAAAGAAAGAAATCCTTTAACAGTTGAACCTGTTGTGTGTGTAATGTAAGTAGTGATGTGATGAGTTTGAACCAAATATAAACTTTAGTGTTAAATTCTCAGTGTTTTTCATTTTTTGAATCCCCGTGAAGATCTTCAACCAACTTCATTTATAAAGGTAAAAATTATATCCAGGCACCTACACAGAGTGAAAATGGGAAGACATTTGTTTCTGCAAAATTTAGAATGACCTGATATAACTTTACTAACCAAATGTCACTGTGCTGTCTTATCTGTCGTGTGCAGAGAATAGATGCAGATTGGAATAGAATTACGCCAATTTTCTCAAATAATTAGAAGTCTTCGGAATCATATTTTACAGAGAAAACTTGGAAGAAGTAATACTTCTATTTTAATATGTTCGTGTTTAACAATTTAGTGATTTTGATTATCTGAGCCATGAAGCAGCTGTGTTTCTTAGAGAATTCAAAGAACCACAGATCCGGGTTGTGTGTAGATACGAACAGCACTTGGTGTCTAAGTCGATGGTGGCATTTCCCCATCCTCCTGCTTCAGAGAATTTGA